TCCAAACAAAAATGACAAACAGGAACAAACTTCGGAAAAGAAGAGATGATTTACGTTCAGGTGATCAACAAGGAAACCCAAAGAAACAAGAGGGGAAAAAAAATCTTAAGACATGGCATCTTCCCACTGAGTGGCTACTCTTCTTCAGAAATGGACTGTCTTCTTCCCCATTTATCCTGACAGAGACAGCTGGTGCTGATACAGCTAAGCCTGAACTTCCTGTAGACTGCTGAGAAATCCAGCAGATGGATGAAGATCAATTTGATGATGCTGCCTGGAGTTTGGTTTGTTGAAGATAAATGTTGGGATTCACTTTTTTTTAAGTCTGAGGAAGGGCTTAGGTCCAGCAGCATCGAACAGAACACACAACGGCCTGGTGGTGGCATTCCTACCTTGCGCGGTCGGCATTAGCTGCTGAAGTGGAACGCCAGGTGATCCTAAAGGAGCTACACCAGGATGTTGGAAAATCAGCCCATGGCGACCAACGTCAATCCGGGGCCTCTTAGCCTGATCTGGGATTTAAAACACACAATACCCTCATAACGCAAAAAAGGCACTCGGCACAGAGCAGTGACCTTCCGAAGACCTTACAGGTCACCTCTCCTTCCTCCGTTTAAGCCTTCAACACAGAAGCGCTAGTAGAAGATGCCAAATATCTAAAAGCAGAAGCAATTAGAAGGAGAAAAGAAAACAAACAAAACAAAGCAAACGGGGGTGGGGGGAAACAAAGCAACATCAGAAAGACGGGAGGCTGCAACTCTTGCCCTACCTGTTTGCACCATAGCCTGTTGCCTCTTATAGGCATCCATGTCTCCAGGGTTTGAAATGGCGCCTGAAGCTCCCCCTTGATGTACCTGAAAAATAACATCTTAAGCAATTAGGTTGTTTATATCTGATGTATGTGAATTTTAACAAAGTTATAGAAAAACTATGCAACTAGTTTTGAAAATAAATATTTCCTGTATCACCTGAAACTGCTGCTGGGTAGAGAAAGCAGCAGAAACATTGGGAGGGAGCTGTGTTGCTATAGCAACCGGTGTCACTGCTTGACCATCCTTTCCTGTAACAACCTTCACCTTAAGAAGGAAAAGCAGTAAAAAGTGTGTTTTGGGAACCTGTTCTTTGAAATCCAAAGGAAAGTAAAAGATTTATAAGATAACAAATATTCCAGATGTTTATCTGACTTTTAATAAACTACAATGGGGAAAAACACGTGAAACCCCATTGCAAAGTGATAAAAAAAAAATCCCACAGAGTTGCCTGTGATTTTCATGTACTTTCTCACTGAGAAAGTGCATGAACATAGATGCTGTTGGCTTCTGGGTTTGCACACCAACATGGTGGGATTTCTTAGATTAACACAAAAACAAACCATATCCCTTAGTATTTGACTTGCTGATCACAGAGGGGGGTAAAGACAAATTGGCTTATTCTGCTCTCTGGCCACCTGATTGGTGAATCTCTGTTGAACGCAATCTAAAATTATAAACAACACATTACGGTACCTCGTCATTAATAACCTCCGACTGTTCTTCTTCGTCGTCCTCGTCATCAAGATCCAAATCGTTCTGTCTCAGGTAAGTATTTAAGGGGTGACAATGTTTCTTCTTAAAGGCGTGATAGTCCATGATATTCCCCTGAAGATGCTGCAGAAAGAACAGTTCAACCATGTACTCTTTAAACACTTCCTTCAGGCTCTCCATCTTCTTGGTGTGGTGCTCCAAGCACTGCTTTCTCAGCTGGGCGATCTCAGGAGTAGCAGGAGCAATCTCCTCTAGCTTCTTGGGAGCCTGCTTCTTAATGGAAGCAGTGGTCATACTGGTGGGCGTGAGAGGATTGCTGCTGATCCCAGGCGGTGGACTCGTGAGGGAAGGACTAGAGGGTGGAATGGAGGAAGGTATGCTGAACGTCGCTGTAGCTGGGGTTCCCACTCCGGTAACCACACCTTGTGCAGTCTTCTCGAAGACGATAGGGCGCCCTAGCTTCCCTTGGATGATGTTGCTAATCTGTGGCGGTAGACTGGAAGTGGTGATGTGTCCAGGGCTGCCCAGGGTGGGGAGTGTCGTACCGGCGGCAACGGGACTTTGAGAGCCAAGGTGGTGGATGGTGCCACCGGTCTGAGAATGAGTCTGAGAGAGCCTCCGTTCCCTCACTGAGCCTGGAGCTCCTGTGGAGGCAAGTTGGACCTGGCCGGGTGGGGGGGCAAGCTGGGCGAGTGTCGTCCCGTCCTGATAAACAAAGTGGCTTCCTCCCGACTGGCTGCCTAAACTGATCTGTCGCACTATCATGCTAGCTTCAACAAACCGTGTGGGGCTTTGTCCACGGACTCCCAATGCCGTAGGAGGGGCCCCTGGCCTTGTGACACCTTGTAAAGAGACGGGGCTATGCTGTGTAGGACTTTGGGGCTGAATGGGCTGGGGCACGGGTGAGGTGACCTGAATGTAGGAGGATGGAGCATGCTCAAACCTCCACTGAGATGCACTGTGCTGGAACCCAGGCGATGCTGGATTCTGGATGGGGAGTGGAGTTAGAGTGATCTGCTGATTAGCAGCCAGTCCCACGTTTTGCAATGTGATGTTCACGTTCTGTCCTGTGACTGGGCTCCGACTCATGATGAGCTGATAATTGGGTGACTGAGGGGCTGAAGGGCTGGCAGCAGAGGAAAAAGTGGTCACAGGAGACTGAGGGTGGCTAACTGTAGCTTGTTGTTGTGTAGCTGCCATAGACGGCTGCTGCTGCTCCTCGGCTTCTGACCCAGAGACAGACTTGGATTTTTGGAGCTGTCGTTGAATATTCTGTGATCCACTTCCATGGTGCATTGCGTGACACTGTTGCTATGCGTGAACACAATCTATGGAAAAGAGACAACAACAAAAATTATTTTCACCTAAGGAACTAAAAACAAGGATCCCCAGACATCTTATTCTGGTTTGCCAACCAAGTATTGACTTGTTTCAGAGTGCACTGCACTACACAATTAGAATTAAACTGACTTCTTAATTTGGCAAAATTAAACACAATAAGTTACAATTTAATTGTCCAATATATGATTTGCTTGGAAGCAATACTAGCGTTTGAGACTAATTTAGTGGCAGACACTCTACAGAGTAAGGAAAATGTCAGTTAAATACAATATTGTCATCTTGACTTTTATCAATACAGTACTGCAAATGCATTTTTTTTCTAATATCTTAATGTATCCTCACTCACCAGAAATTATTTTTCAATTAGTTCCAGTCACTGAATTTTCAATTACTGTATGCAGAGCGTTGTCATCTCAAGAGCCGATTCTCGAGTGCTATTAAAATCAAATGTATGAATAGCTTTTCAACAAAATAAGTAAATATATAAACTTTAACCTTTTGATTTAAACATGTCTGCCACATTAACCCATGAACAAGATCACATTTAAAGTACCTACTATTTTATCTATTTTATCATCACTACTAGTGTAGTGATGATAAAGTTTTCCTTTTTTTTTCTTTGTTCAATTATTTTTTCCTTCTCAAATATTTTTGCCTTACTTTGTTAAGGTATTCTTCACAATGTCAGGCAATATATATTACTCCAACATCTATAACAAGAGAAAATATGTCTTTTTTTTGTGGCAAGAGATAGGACTGTGAGACAAATTATACCAAAATTATAAATTAATAAAAATGCTACAGATATACATGAGCTTGGAATAATTTGAAAAACCTTTTAATGATCTTTGAAATTAACAATCAAATCTTTGGAAAATTTTACTAATGTATTTAATATCATTGACTCATGTGACTCAATTATACCTCCAAGTGCTAAACACAACTCTTAACACTGAAGGAATAATCCTTTTAAGAAATTAAGTGTCCTAGTTAAAGGGGGTTATAGAGAATATTCATGACCAAGTTGCGGTCAAGAAGAGGCCGCCAAAAACCACACATAATAATAAACACAAAAATAAGGACATTAATCAGGATGTGATACAAATTATACAAATATAAAATGTATTTGTCTAACAAGAATATTAGTATTATATGTTTGAGTTATAACCCATCTTGATACGTTTGTACAGTGAAAGAACGGTAGGAAACAACAGCAACCTATTATTCAAATACGAAAAAAAAAAAACAAAAAAAAAAAACATGCAAACAAAGACGATGCACATTAACGCATATGATACTACCGATAATGATTTGACTATATTTGTACATTGGGTTTAATTACCATTATAACATATGCGCCTTCAATACAATTTTTTTTATAAACATACAAAATAAAAGAATGCACAATTATCAGGCAAGTTTATTTTATAGCTGGGCAAACGGACAACTTTAGCCAACAAATATTTTTTGATTGCTTTATACACCCGTAACGCAGACATCACTATCTCCTCTGGGGCGTATCGCTATCTTACAGCGCTAAAATAAGAAATACAACAGTCTACTCTAAAATAAAACTGCATACAAAAATATTTTAGTTAAAACATAATTAAGTACTTAAATTAAAATACAACTAGCTGCTATGGTTTGATATTTACAATAACATAAGCCGTCATTCAGCATTTAAACGACCGTTTCTACGGAGCGCGTGCTAGCGGTTAGCTTGTTTTCGTTAGCAGGCCAGAAGCCGTTGAATTAATACATAAATCATTTAAACTCTGCTACTTACACCGTGTGGGCCTTCTGTGTTAGTTTCATGAGGTCTAAGTCATGTTTGCAGTAGGTCAAAATCTTAAACGAGAACTATTCCATGAAATATTCACAAATGCTCACGCTAGCCGCTTTATAATGTTTTGAAGCTAGGATAATTTCATTCAGCAATATGGCGGCGGCGGCGACCTTCTGCGACCCGGATGTGATAGCATTCTGACGTCAACGAAAAATAAGTAGCAAAATAATCACAATTTCTTCAGCTTGACAGGTTATGGTTAACTTTTAAATCCGTCAGGAATTAAGGAGATGCTACTTTAACCGAAATTAAGATGTTTATTTAAAAGAATACATAAAGCGCAAAAATGATTAAGAAGAAATGGCCTTTATTATCATAGATAATAAATGACATTTATTTTCATCACACAGTGTTACAACTAATTTTTTGCAAATTTATCAAACACTCTTGAAAATAGAAAAGGTAATTGGGTAAATTCTACCACTCCTCTGCTAAAATATCGTCACAAAATACTAAATTGTTAAAATCTTATGTCCTTTAAAAGACAAAAACTACTTCAATAACCAGTCAAAATTTGTATTCATCCAAACAAACATCAAAAAGCAACATCAGCAAACATAAAATAATGTGCACACAAACATGCGCAATTTTACATGCAAAAACGACGTAAATGACTGCATTGCTACCTGAGTAAACAGGAGATTTGTTCTGTTCCAACAAAACTCATTTTAAAAGACGTGTAGTGCATTTCAGAATACAATGCAAAAATTAGTCTTACGGACTGACAGTAATAAAACAAAGCACTTTTTAGTTTCAGTTACATTCATTTTGCCCACTATATACATATAGGCACATTTTCCTAATATTGCTACACACTCGTAATATTTGGTCATTTCATCCAAAAATATACACCCACTCACGTGGATGTTAAGAAAGACTTCAGACAAAGGCCCAAATTCCTCATCTGATCTACAAAAATAGAAGCACAATAAAAATAACAAATGGCCTAAAATCTTTCACACAATATACGTTTAAGAACATAAAGCTGAAAAATTGGCTCCTTTGGTGTGATGCTGCAGTTAGATGGGATGGTAGGATAACATTAGACAATCTTGTGGTCGCTTCTCCGACATGGGATCAAAGTCCTTCTGTGTTGAATGAACCGTTTACGTTGAGCGGAGATGGATACCATTATGTCTGCAAAGTTGAAAGGCGTCGCTCAATGCACTTCTTACCTGAAAAGATGTAAAACAAATGATGATCGCATATGAAATGCACTCATCTCAAGTCTAATTTAGCAATGTGATAAATATTGGTTTGTTGGTGTCTACCCACATTTTTCAATGCTGTCAATGTCCTTTTGCTCTGTGAGGATTCGGGATAGACCCTCCATCAGCAGAAGAGCTTTATTGTAGCGCTGCACCGACGCTGCACCGTGGTGGAACATCTCATCCAAAGCAGCAGATTGAATCTGAATATTTTAAGTACATACACATTTTAAGGACTGACATAAGCATCCCTTGATGATGTAGAAATGATAGAATCTGATGAGATATAAGCTTTGGCACTATAAGATGAGCTCACCATATGCACAGTGTGGCCATAGATGAGCTTCTCTGCTGTGAGGCTATTGAAGCGGTCCATGAGCTTCTGTTTGTCAAGCAAGAAGGTTTGAAGCCGATCGTTCAGGGAGCGACAATAGGTCACACAGTTCTTGTACAAGTTGTTGAGCTTCCTGATCACTGAAAAATAGAAAAAAAGTTTTTTTCAATGTTGACATCTTAGGCATTGTTTAAAAACATAAAATCAAATGTGTTTGATCAATTGGTGTGCAAAATATAAAGATACAAAATACACAGTCTATATGTATGCATAATTGATTGTTACATGCTACAGGTGTAACACCAGCAAAGTTTAAAACCAAATTTGCCAAAAATCTTAAATATTCTGTTTTAGACATTTCTGTTTGCTTTTCCCTTACCTACACTTCTGAATAAGACAATACCACCCAAACCCTCACATTCTTCCTGATGGCCTTAATCAATCACACTCAAGTTAAAATTTCTATTCCATGTCAATAATATCACCTTGTTTGACTGACAAAGAGGTCTGGAGTTGGCCTTGTTTTATGTTTTCCTTTGCAGTATGCAGTGCAGAGGACAGAAACTCTTCAGCTTTCATGTACAACACCAACTGCTCTGCATAGCTGGAAGCAGACAAGAAATACTTTGTAAAGAGAAGGCTTACAAGCATAAAACCCCTGCACATGCGCACATGCTGAGAGAACATAATTTTTTAAGTAAGTCAGAGCCTGACACTTATCTCACGTTTTAATGAAACAAAATGTGAAGCTATACGGCTAATGTTGCATTTCTCAGCCTTGACTTGCAATGGTGCAAGTCAAGGCTGAGATACGGCAATGATGTCACACCTGACGCGTCTTAGTTGCAATTACAACTTGGAATTTGGAAAAACTAATTTCCAAGTCTAAGCAGAACATGCCACAAGTTTTAAGCAACTCATCATATTACCAAGATGTTTGCCTACAAATCTGGTCTTGAAACTTTATTGTTTGCAGATGGAATCAATAAAAATCTAGATTGAAATGATCCATTTATGTGTGTCTTTTTGTCATAGAAAACCACAAATAAATGTGGCTTTATGCAATAAAACTTAAAAATCCAAAGCTTCTGAATACTATTTTCTATCGTAACGATTTCTGTTGAATGGTTTCCTATAACCTACTTAAAAGATGACTGACCCGTCATTCTGACTTTGTACAAGCAGGGAATGGCCTCATACAACTCAGGTAGTGACTCATTTATTAATTTGACATGCTTCTTACCTCCACTCTCTGCTCAGAAGACTGATCTGATCTGTCACAATGCTCTGCTCTAAAAAGGAAATATCAGGACTGCCAAAGTCCTCCGGCGCTGGGCCTTTTGAGGAAGCCAACTCCATAACACAGCTGACAAAAGCCAAAGTGAAGCGTAAATCACTCAGAGCATCTGTATGAACCTGCTGAGAAAAGACAGCGCGTATGAAATTCCACAAATAGCTAAACCTCAGATATGGAATTTGTCATTTTTGTAGACAGAATTTATTCATCTTTACCTCCATCAGTGTATCTTCAGGCAGCTCTGGAGGGTGGAAAATCAGACCGCTCTCTGGGATGGCATCCATTGCTTCAGTCTCACTTTTTCGTCGGCTTCCCCGCTGGAGAGGGCAGGCGTTCAGTGTCCAACCGGAGTTAAAGTAGGTGGGAGAGCCTGCAAGTCAGGCAAAATGCAAGTTTCAACAGTGTTACTGCCATGAACATGGCTGGCAAGAAATCTGAAATACATATTGACAGTTCCAACACATTACAACACCTGCTTCATTTACAAACTCCCCAAAGGAAAACTCAAAATAAATACAGTTATTCCAGTTATTAGGGAGGTAAAAAAAAAAAAAGCCCCTACATGAGAGCAGGTTTCCCTGTGGTGGAGAACCCATGGCAAAAACTGCAGGAGGCGGGCTGTCTGAAAACTGAAAAACTTTATAACATCCAGTAGGTGGAGCTGTAGAGGCAAAAAACAGAAACCCTTAGGAAGAAAACCAGTACATTGAACAGACAATAACTTAGTGAATTTGATTATAAGTACATAAACTGGTGGTACTTTTTACCTGCTGTATCAGTGCTGATCTCCCAGGTGAAGCCCTGATCGCATCCTTCTTCAAACAAATTAGCTCCAAAGGCGGCTTTCAGCAGCATGTCGGAAAGCCTGCCGGTGCTGAGGGATCTGAATGTTGGAAGCAGACAGACACATTGCAGTGCAACACACCAGACAACGTGTTTTCAGATAAAAGACAGACTTCATTCACATATCGACTATTAAATGGGTATTTAATTTGGCACAATGCTATTACATTTTCATTTAAAAGTTTTTTTTTTTTTTTAATAAAAAAAGATACCTTTTAAAGGGACCCTTTTTATTGGCCGGCTTCCTGCTGATGTTGTTCTGGAAAGCAGGAGATTGATCGAGGCATTGCAGGTTTGACACTGTCCTGGTTCGGTTTGGCTTTCTGGGTTGAACATGCTGTTAGAAAAAAGACAAACAAAAAAAAAAAACATCCTAAGTTTTAAAACCAGCCAGATTTTAGACTATGAACTAGATATAAAACAAAGAACTTTCACTAACCAACTGGATACCTACTGATATACTTTTTTTTTTTTGCTTTTAATAAACATGAGGTGGATGTTGGATAAATAGGCTTGGTTGCATAAATGGGGATGCACTTGTAAGTTCTTAATTTCCTGCTTTATTCAAAACTACTGCCTCTATCGAAGCAGCCGCATATCCTTCCTCTCCCACCCCCCATTTTATGTGTTATAATCTCCAAAAAACCAACATTTAGAATGGACATTTGAGATCTAAAACAACTGCATGGGAATCCTGATAAGCACATGTCTAGAAACACATCACAGCTGACCTTGTGGCTTGGAGTGACCTCTGCATCGGGAGAACCAGTCAGCAGTCCAGTTCTTGTGCCGAGCGGGAAAATCTGCTCAGAGGTCTTTGGGGTCATCCCAGCTGAAGCAGAGAGTATCACATAACTCATCATTATCAATCTGTTTATCGGATGACGAGTGTTTTTCCTCATATACCTCAGACATGACGAGCTGCAAGGCAAGTGCTGCGAGAATTGAATGCGTCAGACTGAACACATGGAGAAGGGAAGATTTTATCACTAAATAAACCTAAAAGTCCACTTAGCGTCATAAATTAGATCTGTCTCTGTGTGTCAGACACATTTGTTACCGCCCAAAATGTGTGAACCAAGTTTTCATTTCTGATAAAGATGATCCTCAACACATCTAACAAAATTCCTTTTCAATTATGGAAATTAATCAGTTATTGCATCATTGTCTTTGCAACTAACCAGCTGTGGTTACGCTTCCAACTACACAAATAATCTGACAACCATTTGCTGCATTTTTTACATTCATCCAAAAAACCAAAAAAACAATAAAAGCAGCACAACAAAAGAAATATTTCTTATTCAGAATTTCTATATAAAAACAATTAAGAGATAGGAATAATTATATTCCTTCTGCTCTGCTTTCCAAAGGTTTCCTGAAAAGTTCTGTGTGTCCTGTTTTGTTTCTACGCATATCTATTGGCTGTATGGTTCTGTTCATTTAAAATTCTTCTGTTAGTCTATAAATCACTATAAATCAATGGCTTAGAACCAAAGCACATTAAAGATCTGCTGTTGTTGTATCAACGTTCCAGACCACTCAGGTCTTCTGAATCTAGTCTACTCCCAGAACCGGAGCTGGACGCAAATTAGCAGCATTCAGCTTCTATGCACCACAAATCTGGAACAAACTTCCAGAAAACTGCAAAACTGCTGAAACACAGAGTAACTTTAAATCAAGGCTAAAAAAAAGTCACCTGTGTAGAGTTGCTTTTAATTCCTAGTAACTGGAACACTGATCAACATATTCAATGCGTATTTGCTCGATGATTTTGATGAAGGGATTTGACAAAATTGCACTGTATTATGTTTTTAACAGTGCAAAGCACTTTCAACCGCCTTGTTGCTGAAATGTGCTATACTAATAAACCTGACATGATACAGGTGTCACTGTTGGGGCTTTATGTAGCTAACAATATTATTTAGTATATACCATGTTTGCAAAAATCTTGTTATACACAAGAGGAAAAAAAAATACACAACTGTTTGGCTACCTGGTGGGGAAGACTGTTCTGGTTGCGCTCCTCCTGTTGCCAGTTTTGGGAAGTTGGCAACAGCACTTGGACACGAAGCTCGACGCCGTCCACACTGCAGCGGGTTTACATTGACCGGCTGCAGATTGCGCGCCATGCGCTGGTAGTTGTGAATTTGAGTTGGGACGGGAATCGGTACAGACGGGCTGCATTTGCGGCCATTTAATGCAGCTGGATTGCTGTGTGTGACACGAAGAAATGAGTGGCTAGGAGGGATTTAGGGTGAGATAACTAAGAAACAAAACAAACTAAAAGAAAAACAATATAAATCTAGATCTTCATAGTTTCCTTTTACCTAACGGGCTTGTTGGGAGAGTGCAGAAGAGAAGGATGTACTGGTGTCCTTCTCAAGGGTTCAGAACCTCTCCTGGTCAGTGGATACCTCCTTAAAAGATTGGTAAGACTGGCTTAGAAAAAAGCTTTTGTGGTAATTTCTGACAGTGATAAACTTAATCTTAAATCAGATAACTGTACAATAAACTCACCTATTGATTGCTAGGAAAATTTCAGTGGGAGACCCATCTTCCAGCTCACTTGTGTACTCACCTAAAAAAAAAAAAAAAAGCAACACATAAAAATCAGACGAGCAGACTGTGAAAAAAGTAAAAACGAGAAATTAAATAACCAAGATATCTGTCAGGAATGCTCACATGTCACATTGGACAGCTCAGCTGGCACCATGACGTAATCTTCAGCACATGATGGTGGGCTTCTACTGCCTTTAGTGGCTTTTGCTTTGCTCTGCAAGCCGGCGGTGTCCTGTGTTGGCAGGTGCAGCTCTCCGTCGGAATGCTGGGTCAAATGATTAGAGATACACAAAAATATTTGCCAACATTTTTGCTTTATCAGGTTTGATAAACAGCTGGCAGGTCAGAAATCTAAAAAATCTGATCTTTTTTCCAAGTCAATGAAGACACCACTCCTAAACCCATGGCGACAATCTTCAGTGTGGAAGTTGTTACTTGGATTATTTTCTGCATTTTCTGCATCAGTGGGATGTTTACAAATCAGAGAAAGCACAAATGTAGTTAGAAGCCTCTAGAAATAAAGCCATTTTCTATACGGCATGTCAACTTTTCCTCCACTTCCACAGAAAAACTAACAAATCATACCCATTCCTCTATTTTACAGAGAACTCTCTCTTCATTGGAGAACATACTTGTGGCGAGGCGGGCTGAGACGTGGAGGAGCTGCAGGAAGAGCTGCCTGATCCAGTGTTGGCGTAGGAGATTACAGAAGAAGGCGAACCTGTTGAAAAAACACACACCTGCTCGTGTTGGGAGCTGAAGTACAGCAGCTTTACCAGCACTACAACAAGGGGTAACGACTCACAAGGCACAGTACGCACATGTTTTTGCCAGCGAACTTGACTCCAAGAAAGGATGGTGGAAAAACTCTTCTGCAAGTGAAAAGATTGACATGCTGTTCACATAAGTCACACTTAAAAAAAAATACAAATCTGGGAGATTAAAAGGAACGGACTTACCAAAGCTCATCCGCTCCTTGTGGTTTCTCTGCAGAAGCCCCAGGAGCAGGTGTCTTAGGTTAGCTGAAGTCTCCTTTGGGATGCTAGAAGAAGTTGAAAGTCACATTTGCTTATTTCATTTCACAATACACCAATAACAAAACAAGAATTGTAAAGCCAAGCCATCACAAAGGCTTCATCTAAAGTAATTTAAGCCTTTCTTTTGTAACTGTGTGTTCTGAATATGTGCACTCAAACTCTCATGCTAAACTGATGTGTGCCTTTGCCGCTTTCCTCATTAATTCAAATGCCCTCCTAAGTGTAAATCATAAATATGGATATGTTGAGCAATTTTCTTCTGTTCCATTTGTGCATGTTGCCTACACTGTGATAAATATATATTAGAAAAATGCTGCTTCAGTGTGTAAATCTTGCACAAATATGGAAATTCTTAATCTAATTAGCGTCTTCAGCGCCACAGCTCTTGGCGACATGGTGTGCACTGTCAGACTGAGTATGTGTGCGTGTGTGTGTGTGTGTGTGTGTGTGTGTGTGTATGCGTGAGCGTTGGATTGCGTAGGGGGAAAGGTCAGGAAGCCACGCAGTCACCTGGGTAGCAGAGTTTCGTTGCTTTCATAGAACAGACGGAGCTCTTGTGGCGAACTGGCCTGAACAAACAAGAAAAGTTTGAATTAAAACAAAGAATGAACTGCCACTGAAAAATATGTGTTTGGAATCACAGGGAACCTCCGACGCAGCACATTCTGCTTCTATGTGTTTCAATAAGACGTCAGGATTCGATGCAGTTTGATGAGATTGGAATTTCTTCCATTTTAAAATTGTCTCAGTTTTTCCAACATTATGAACATTTGAGCTTGAAACGCGTACCTTGGCAATTTGTTAACATTTTATAGTTAGATTGTATCATCTATGCTTCATAAATCAAGGAAAAGTACAAAGCTCCAGTTGGCTCCTAACTAGTTAGAATGATGACGGGCCACTCCACTGCTTTGTGGACATTTAGACTAACTCAGATCTACCTAACAAAAAATGAGTCTAAACGCAGGTTCTTTAAAGCACAATTTGTGATGTTCAATACATTTTATTTCTGAAAAATTTATATATATAAAAAAAAGACTGTTTGAATGCTTTGTTTAGCAAGTTAAGACAAAAAAATTATCATTTTTAGATTTTAGAATTATATAAATGTCTGTAAACCAAAACTTTCTTTATAATGTGCTCCTCACCCCTCTTCTGCTTTAGGTTATCTACATAGTCTAATCATGAGATTGGTCAAGAGAGCTCTGCAGTGTCACAACAGCAGGGGAGAGCTCCTTAATCCTGGAGACTAAGTGTTACTTGCCCAACCCAGAACCTATCTGCCCTCTTTAGCATGAAATAACAACCCCCTTTCCTTAACAACAGACAAATGGCAAGACCGTCGGTGTTGGGCTCCACAGAATCCTTGGTACATAACAATCAGGGATTCATACCTATTGTCTAATCAAGTCTCTCTTCTCTGACCAGAACAAAAGGAAGCCAGATCCACTGTTGGTCAGAGCAGACTTGACAGACTCCTTTCACTCTGTATTTCTGTTCTCACCTTGCAAGGTTTTAATAAATTTCTTATTTCTTCTCATATAGACTCTTGCTAAAGTAATTTTTTCCACGACAAAACTCAGTTTTCTTTTTTCCACATGTATCCAAGCATTTAAAGAGTATGTAGAAACCCTAGAAATAATACATTACAGTAGAACAGAATATGATGCAATAAAATTCAACACACTACTTTTTTATTATTGTCCTCTCAGATTAATTTGTGTTGGATTTAGAGTCAGATAACACAGTTTGAATTACATAAATAATCCACTGTAATCCACCTGTAATAATTCTAATAAAAGTATATTTCTAAGGATATATGTTAGGCATTACAATGATTATGTACCATCAGTTACACTAAAGTAAATTTGTTAATTGTTAAACATGACAGAACTGTTTACAACCTTGAGTTCTTACTGAAAATACCCATATTGGTCAGCAGCTTATTATTTGTGTAGTACTAAATGAATATATCATCGTACCTCATTCAGAATTCAGCATAAAACATTTCTAACCCGATATCCCCAACATAGCTTTGTTTATTTATTGTCATTTCCAATAACTACTGTGTAAAAGATACTTCCAAACACAGACATGACAAATTGGAAGGTCTCCCAACCGAGGGAGCCATAAAAATATCAGAAGCAGCAGCGAGCTGCAGACTAACCCTTGGACTTAACACAACCCAATGACCTCAGAGGCAGCCATAGGGTATAAACTTCCCTATCGACCTCAGAAAGTGCAACAAAAATAGGCTTGGGTGCTAAAGCAAAGCAAACAGCCCATTACAGCGCCACGCATTAAGAATGGGATGATACAGGCCGACAGAAATAAAACAAAACTGAGGTCAAACCTGTGCCTGTGTTTAAAGTTACATCTGAGTCAGTCTGTAAATAACAGTTTGACTACAACAGCCACGTGAATAGAAGAAAGTAATAGGTGGGGTTGTGAAACGCTGTTTATTCTGGGTTTAGAGAAGTGGCCCGCGGCCATTTCCGCATGCCCCCCTCCATAAAGACGGCTCATTACTTGGAAGCAGTACTTCATTACTCCACCAGCATTTTCCATCTTACAACACTCATCCCATAGACGTATTGTTTGCCACGGCTGTGTTATGGGTCATCTTGTTTGTGTTATGAAAGGGAGACAGCAAGTTATGACAGTAGTTAGCACGCCCTCTCTAAGACCTAAAACAAAACAATGACGGGGACCTGAGCAAGGGTTAGTCACCACACACATTAAGTAAAGGAAAGGACATTTAAAAAGCTGTTATTTCTCTTGTGCTTATGCATCTGGAGGTTTCACTCACATGAAAGGGGGCCTTTCCCGTCAGACACTGGTATACGATGGTGCCTATGCTCCACAGATCGGCCTTGGCATCATAGTTCTGGGACATGATGACCTCGGGAGCCTGTGTTCACACAAACGCCGCTTACAGCTTAAGGGCATTACAACTTGCTGGCACAGGAAGGCAGAGCGAGAACTTACCATGTACATGGGCGAGCCGCACAGTGTAGCGGCCATAGTGTTTAGCTGCAGGTGCCGCGCAAATCCAAAATCAGCTGGAAGGACATGCAGAGTCAGCATGAGTCTGCAGCCCATTTTTGGAAAGACATTGTCAACGCGACAGTATGGGCTAAAGCCGTTACCGATCTTAATGCTGGTATTTATGGAGCTGGACTTGCGCCCCTCTGGGTGGCAGAGCAAAATATTCTGGGGCTTCAGGTCTCTATGGAGGATGCCTTTGCTCTGCAGGACTTTCATGGCCTTAGCGATCTGCTGCAGGAATACCCGGATGGTATCCTCACTCAGTGTTCCTTTGGCTGTTAAAAGGAGAGAAAACACACTAGATCAGCTCAAATGTGGAACATGCAGAATTTTATTTATTTTATGTGCTTCACAGTATTTTATAGCAGAGCTATAATTACTTATAGTAAAAAGAAACTAAGGTAGCTTATTCTTGAGCTCATCCCCCATCTATGTTGTTCCACTGAGGCTCATGCGATACGTGAGCGGCAGATGGGTGAGGTCATATGGGTGCTCCCTCAACCTTTCCTGAAGTGCTGTGCTGTAAATAGCTATATGTGCCTTTTCTTGGCATGAACTTAGGAGGTTCACAGAATAAAGAGAGGGAGCAGAATTAGTTCAAGGTCGCACATCAGCATATATAGATGCACATTAACGCTGAGCAGGGAAATCTAACCTCCTCCATGGTCAAATCATGTTTAAAGGCCAGTGTTGAGAAAGTAAAAGCTCAAAAGTCCCAACCTTATGACTAACAGGGAAATAACAACCTGATTTCTGTATACAGCCACAAATTTTGTGTTGATTGTCAAATAATTAGCAAAAGGTAGTCGAGATGCCAAAAAAAAAAAGAATTTGGTGGCCAATTTAAAAGCTCAGCTTTTTTTATTTTAAAAGCTTTGACCGGCCTCAATAAGACTTTCACCAATTCTGATTTCTGTTTAAGAACCCTAACTAACAGCATTCAAGATGGTTTTTACTCAAGCCGTCCTCAGGCAAGCCATTAATAAATTCTTTAAATATTAGCAGAGGTGACGCCTCACCATTTCAGCCTGAATGAAACATGACCAGTGAATTCACTGGTCAGTACAAAAAAAGATTGAAATTTTGAGTTTCTATCTTGTAGGATAATCATCCAACAAGGTCAAGGAAAAAAGAAAAAGTGTCTAATTCTGGTCAACAACTAATTTCTCGATGCATCTCCAGAAAAAAATAAGTCAAAACTCAAGAAATGCCTAGTTAAGAGGCTTAATTTACCAATTAAGCCTCTTAACTAGGTATTTTTTTAAGAAATACCTATATTTCTTAAAAAAAAAAAAAAAAAAAGAAGTCTGGTAAATTTTCCATGTAATCATCTGAAGCTAAAATATTAATGGGGTCCCTGAATTAAAATCCTAACATTCAATTAAAAGGTAAAAGAAAAAGAAATATTGCAACATATTTACAACAATGAGGTTCTCAAAAATCTAAGAAACATGTGACACTTCTCCAACCTATTAGTAAACCCCTTCAGAGTATGGAGTTAAAATCCTCCTTTTTTTGCTTTGCATCGTAGTATGAAGGAAGACAAAGGGGGAGAAAAGGTATGTGTGCTTGAGCGTTGAGCTCTGTGTTGGGGTGCACTTACTTTGGAGATACTCGGCCAGATCGCCTCCATTGCAGTACTGAAATCAAGTCACAGACAAGTCTTAACAGAAGCCTAGGTAACATTTGCATGGTGAATGTAAATATATATATATATTCGATTTGCTTTTCAACATAAAGATAAATCAGTCTGCACCGTTTCAATCTCCACTCACCTCCATTATGAGATAAATACATCCACCCATCTCCTGTTGACATGGAAAACACAAATAATCAGCTGAATGTTTTATTAAATACAGCTGTAGCAACTAAAACCCGATCAGATGATTGAACAAACAGACAGTGTTTGATTCATGGACTGAGATGGAAAATTATGCAACAGTCCGTCAGTGTCTTAGAAAGCACACTGACAGGTTAAACAACAAGTGACGACTCCTCATGCATTAGATGGACCCCACCCGGGTTTTTTTGGCCTGCATTATAGCAACTTCTTAAAATTCTCGACGGCTGTAACGGAGAACTCAGGAGCCTGAAACTAGATCCAGCTAAAGCCCAGCGTTCAGCACCGAGCCCTCGAATCATCCAGGACTTTCTCCCGATTCAGCACCCCTTCTTTATAGCCATTACAAGGAAAAATAAATAAATAAATCCACCAGCAGCAGACCAGTGAGGCAATATCAAGTGAGGCAGAAAGTGCGAGAAGTTTAGGGTGTCAGTACAACATGACTAGAGGGGAAAGCAACAAGTAGAAAAGCAAGTTACACAATCCAGTTAAAGCTACTTTGCCTGGAGTCCCACTTTAACATATGTTTACCACTTGAAAAAAGGTTGAAAACACCTTATGGCCACCATGGTTAAATAAAAAAAGCTTGTGCGCTAGTGTGTCTCTGCTCCATAGATACACTCAGATTGTGTTTTCTAATCCATTGTTTGACCTGCTGTACCCTGCCATCTGTCAGACATTGTAGGAGATCAGCTTAGCCGTGGCTACTGTCTGGCAGGTGTCAGTAAGGTGATAAGAGGAACGCAGAGGGTGAACTCACATCCAACACATGGTTTGTGCTGTGTAATATGTGCAACCTGTCCAGTTAAAAAAAAACCCCAAAAAACATGAGATTAGCTGTGTAATAGCCATAACAGACTAACAATCGATCAATATAAGATAGGTTTGTACTTTTAGATGTCACTTAGATGATTAAGATTATAATGCAGCATGGTGGTTGCACAAAATAAGTGACTTGCAGAACTGGCCAAAGGCATAAGCAAACAAAGTACCTACAAAGAGCTCCCACACACCAACAGAGCAAGAGCAACAAAACTAAAAAAAAAAAAAAAAAGCCAGGTTTATGAATGTACAATTAAGAAACCTGTGTTACATAAAAGAAAAAATATTATGTCATAGCTTTCCTACACTATTTAGTATTAACATCAATCAGAATTTGTTTATAAAAACACATATCTAAACATGCAATTCCAGGTACTGTGAGTCACGTGACTTGTAAGATTTAAGCAATGCAGGTTTGGTTGTACAGTCAACCAATATGATTTTCTTCTTTTGTCTCTTTCCAGACACCATGCTTAAAAGTTCACGCAAAGATGAGATGGAGAAAAAAAAGTGACGTTGAGTTGTGTTGGGTGATCATAGTAGGAAAGTTACCAAATCAAATTCTGCTTAGAGGCCCGTCTGGTCTGGGCTGACTCTAGCATCTCACATGAAATGTTGCAGCAAGTTTCATCATCTGGGAGTCAAGACTCTAACATGGAGATACATGTGAGACTGAGCAGTGATAAGAAAAGCCATCCTTACCTGATAATCAAGTAGTCTGACAATATTCTCATGTTTGAGCTCCTGGAAGAGGTTAAAAATACACTGCTGTTGTTAAAGGTGCTATAGAAGACAGTCACAAAAATAAATACATAACATCAGAGAAAAACACATTACCTTTAAGATTTTGATTTCTTTTCCAAGCAAAGCCTGCGATTTGGAAAAGTTTTTCTTGTTGATGCACTTTACAGCAACTTCCCAGTCACGTTTCTTAGAAAACAACAAAACAAAATATTAATAAAGAGAGTAATAACTACTTTCAAGGCTGATCTGAATTTGCCACAGATGGGGAAATGTACCTCTTTGTGTCTGCCTTTGAACACAACAGCAAAGGCACCGTGACCAACCAAGTCTTTCCTGTTGAACTCAAACTTCCCAACAGACTCCATGGATATAAACATAAAACTATGTACAGTACAGTATGTCAGAGAAGCTGGGAGAGAATGACTTTGCAACTGAAGCAGACACTCGCCGAAACACCGGGGAGCTCCATGTCAAGGATGAAAAATGCCGCCTTCACGTTTCATAAGCCTCATATTGGTGGGAATTGTCGACAACGTGACGAAGTATCGCTGTCAATACAAAAAGTAGTAACAACGTGAAGTAGTAAGCAACAGCGCATGCGGGTAAAATGCAAGCGGTCCACCAGCTAAGTCCCAGCCGCTTCTTTAAAACCGTCTCTCGATAAAAAGCCGTCTTAATGAAGCCTGTTTGTATGGTCGTTTGAATTTAAACACTGAGCTCACACATTGTTGTGCCTCTCACCTCTCCAACCATCCGCAAGTTATTCTTGCCTCATGTTGAGCATGCGCAAACAGCCGAAGATGTTTTTGTTGGTGGTGCTTTCATGGACATCTCGTAAATTCAACCATTTACAGAAGCTACATTTAGCTGTAATTTAATTTACATGCGCTTTAACCTGTATGTCAAACGAGAACAGGCTCCTTATTTAAGGTTTAATATGCGTTTTAAAAATGTATAGATGAAAAGTATTAATTTCTACTATTTGATTATAAGAAACCGTCAGGTTATTTGTTGTTGAGTCACCCCGGATTCACTTTTATATGTACAGTACCCCTCCAACTTTTTGACATTTTGGATTTTATATGATAAAAGTAGCAGAAAGGTGTGAACTGGGAGGGAAAGGATTTATGTTTTTAAAAGCATACATTTCTAACAAATGAAAATCTGAAAAGTGCGTCATGCCTTTGTGTTCAGTTTACCTGAGTCAGTATTTTGTAGGAACTTTTCTGCTTTTGCACAGCCAATCAGTGACGAAAGGGGCTTTGGGTTATTGTTTTATAAATGTCTTCACTTTAAAGTAACAATGTGTCAAATCTTCACTTTAAAGAAACAATGTGCTTCTTTTTCTTTCACTACAAAACTATGAGCTACTGTGTTTGGAAATAACAGTTATAATCCTAAAAGAAAGGAAATTTATACTTACAGCTTTGCAAACTGCAAGGGATAATATTAAACTTTTGAAAATCATTGTAAAAATTCTGAATACAAGAAAAATGACAAATTCTTGACATAAATATTTTTTTTAAATAAAATAGAACTGAATATACAAATTAAGTATCATTACAGGAAAAAACTACCCAAAATCACACAAATGCTAAAATATTAATTTTTATTCCGATATTAAAAAAGTGAGTGCTGATCCACTTACAGTAAATAAGAAAGTAAATTTTGGCACAGTGTACAATAAAGGACATTTTTTAACAAAGTATCAAGGAACAAAAACACCAACCCTAATCAATCTCAACCCTCTGCAGTAAAACACGATTCATACTTTTTGTACCATGAAAATCTAGCAAAATGTAGCAGAAATACATAAAAAAAAACAAATATTTCACAGAATTTTGTAGGACACATTAAAAGTATTCACTGTTCTTTAAAAAGCATTTGCAAAAATAATAATAATAATATTCCAGCAAGTATTTTTCAAGAAAAATAACAATAACAATAATAATAATAATAATAATAATAATAAACACTGTGAACAAAAGTAATTTTGCAGCTGTAACAAAGTTCAAAGGCTACACAACACAATATTCAGAATCACAGCATAAATAAATATAGACTTTTAGATTCACTGTCATAGACTCCTCTGTAATATTATTTTGTGCTGTCCCCGAAACTATATTAATACTGTGTCAACTACATAATTACTTAGATAAAGTCAGCACTTTTTTCTTTGTGATGTAAAATAGATTAACAGCTGGTGTTGCGTTGTTCTAAAAGTATAAAATAACACTATGTTTAAAACTAACACTGTGTGTTCTTGGTCCTTTCGTCCACGATTATGCAAACAGTCCTGAGGACATTCTGAAAGTTTGTTTCTAAACACAATAAAGTGTGCTTAATTCCTGCCTGCAAATAACAGCGTGTGTCATCGTAACACCGTTTACTGTACAAACCAAAATCATTTTGATGAAAAGATCAATGCTAATCCTGTCTTGTCATTGAAAGAAATCTACTTTTATTATAGTCAAACAATTAAGAGAAGGAAAGACTTGATCTAGATAACTAGTCACCTGATTATATAGCTCATCATATCCATAAATATGGTTCTTTTAGGTCCCATCTTGCTCAAAGTAAATGCCTCATTTTCTCATTATTCCAATAATACATGCGGTAGAGTTTCATCCCATCAAAATGGTCATTTTTTGTGAAATTAAAAAAAAACTTTTCAAAGTTTTTTTCCACTGTCAATTTGATTTATATGATTAAGAAAAATGGCATCAGTCTGGTTGCCCAAGTGTACTCTGATTGTTTTGATTAAATCTCACCATTTAGTCTTCTTTGGTGAGATTTAGACAGCATCCCAGAATCTCAATCCTGATTCTGATTCTATATGTCTTCTGTGTTTTTTTTGTTGTTTGTTTTGTTTTGAAAAATGTATTTAAATGTTATTCTTCAAATGTAGCAGGAAACCATTTCACAGTCTTTTTGGTCTGTGCGGATGTAAGGTCGGACATCGGCGGCGGTGTGTTTCGGTGTCGGGTATTCATTTTTGTCTGGAGGATGTGCATAAGAGAGCTGCAAAACGTCACACTGGCACCAGAAATACATGTAAAGGAGAAAGGAGTTTTTCTTTTAGATGTTTCTTCAGGGTTTATGCTCATTTCTGGACTTCTTCCGATTCTTAGGTGCTCTGAAAGACTCATTTTTTTGTGTGTTTCTCAATCCTTTTACAGTTGGTGAGATCAGTTCTAAAACTTTAGAAACTGAAGAAACTGATACAATTGCTCCACATCTAAAGACACAAATGTCTTTAGATGATGTACATCATGTGCCTACTAAGGGAAGGGCAGCGCCTCCCACGGGGGCAGCACCTGTCTGCACATGCCTTACGTTGTTCGTTTGTCTTTTCTTTTGTTCTTTGGATGGGCTATACTGAAGCAAAACTCATTTCAGTACACTGATAACTAAAGGCTGATTCTGATTGTTTGTCTTCTGTACTTTTAAAAAAATGTTATTCTTCAAAATGTAGCCAGAAACTTGTTCTACCTGAACTGACTGTCTTGTTTCTACGCTGCTTAGCAAAGATAATAAGGGTTAACCATTGAATGAAGGGGGGCTTGATTGTCCCATTTATGCAGAGTCTGGGAAACTGCTTCACAGTCTGTTTAGGCTTTACCAATCACTTAGTTGTAACTTCACATAATGTAAAAAAAACAAACAAACAAAAAAAAACAAAAAAAAAAACACGTGTGTGTGTGTGTGTGTGTGTGTAAGAAATGAGTGTAGAATTTAGGCCATTATTGTGAATTTAAACATTCATTGCAAGATGAAAGATGGGTTAGGGAATATTGCAGCAGATTTTCTACAATCTATTATTTTAGCAGAAACTAAGACAACAATGTCACAAATGTTGGCCTAGTAGCTCGTTCTGGTCTTGCTTCAGAAATTTGCGGATTCAGCTCATCTGCCAAACTCTCCGCTAGCTACTGCTGTGTTTCCTGCATGCGCCATGCTGTTTATTTGAGCATTTGGGTTACTCTCATTAACCCTGTGGACCTCTCCTGAAAAATCAGATTTTTTTTTTCTGTACTTTGAGAGCAACATGGAACATTCTGTGTGGGAGAATATCAAGCACAGTCCAACAAGTCTGTTTGTCCTCAAGCGTGAACATATTATGCAACTTCAAATTGACTGCATGTAATGACAGAGTGGAAGAGTACTCTGGCCAGTGTTTGCCTTTCCACCCAAGTGAGCCACACATTGCTCTCCTGTCACACAGCGGAGAGGTCAAAACGGTTGGCCGAGTTGGTGCTTTTGTCCCATGTGTTCATCTTAGTGGGAGTTACACCCTCCTTGTTTCCATTCATCTGTTTTGCAAGACAGGAAAAGGGAACATTAGGCTTTTAGGAGCAAAACGGTCCAGTTTTGTTGGCACATTAATGCATCAGTGTTGACACTTACAATGTCAGAGTTGAATGGTTTCACATTGGCGTTTCTTATGGAGCTGCTGGTGAGAGACCAAACCTTGGTTTTGTGCTTGAATGCAGCTCTTACCTGCAGACAGAATCAGAAACCATGAAGTCCAAGAATCAAAAGTATTAGAAGAAAAAAGAAATCAAACTGAATAATGTTGTAAAAGAGAGACATTGCTGCTTCTTACTAATTAAAACCTTCTATGATAAAGATGTCAAAACTTTTCCCTCCTACAAATTTCTTATGTTTTTCCTTTTCCTGTCACTGCTGAATGTTTCAGATCATCTCACCAATTTTATTTTAGTTTTACTAGTTAAATGTGCACCTGTGTCAAAAAGTAAAATAAAATTGCCCTTAAACCTAATAACTGGTTGTGTTCAACAAAATTCCTGATGAGCTTTTTTCCTAAATGCATGTCATTCTTTTTTCTTTTTTTTTCTTTTTTTTTTTTACATTGTCATGTATAAATAACTGAAAAGTGTGTATAAGTTTCGCTGTCTTTTTACAATTACGGACTACTTTGTCTATCACAGAAAATCCACGTGATTATTACAAGACAAAATATGAAGGGGTTAAAATGTTATGAATTGTTTGAATATAATATATATGCCAAGTGTTTTACCCCATACCTCAGAGTTCAGAAGACAGTGGAACAAGAAAACAAAGAAACCCTAAGAAGAAAGCAGATAATGAATAAAACATGAAATTCAAACAGCTTGGTGCCTTTACTATGAAAACAAGATTGAAAAGCGGAAAACTTACTTGTAATGAGTTAAATATAGCAAAAACATATAAAAACGGAGTCGTGTGTGTGTTGAAGGCAAGAACTCCAAAGATCCAGGAAATGCCGAGTATGGGCAGGAGCACTGCCACCGCTTTGGCTGTCAGCCTTCAAGCAAACCGAAAGATAAACGTGATTACAGCTTTTAAGTAGGATAAATATGTTGTGTAAGTGAAAGATTCTGATCGTGCAAACAAACTCACTTGACCGCGTTAGCATCTCCGTGAACCTTGTAATTCTCCCCACTGATTCTTGATATGATTCTTGTCACAGATATCAGGATGCCTATGTTAACCTGGAGATCAAAGATTTGAGAAAATAAAAATAAGAATGCAAAGTACACCGGAAATGAGGCAAAACTGTGCTAAAAAAACAAAAAAAAAACAACATATTTTTTAAGAAGTTTCTCACCACAATGACAAAAAGAGCAGGCGCCACAAACGCCCAAATGGCTCCCATCTCCAGCGACAGCCAGCAGCTGAGACAACAAGGGAAAGTTACAAAGCTTTCCATGAAAAAAGCTTGCACTGTTTTAATGCAAATTTAGGCATTATGCTGCTAATCTAGACCTTTCTACATAGCATTAAAAGCTGTTGTTTCCACTTTCTCTCACAGGTGATGTCATTCTTGCGCAACGGCGGCCATGGAACAAATTAGAGTCCTCACATGCGGAGGGTCGTACTTACTTGACAGTCTCTCCGTAGCTTTTGAGGGCCGATGTTGCAGACACAACACAGATCAGCAGTGGAGAACCTGGGACAAAAGAAAACAACAACACATTCAGCATTAGGCGTGGCTGACGTGAGCTGAAACACGATGGGGGGGATTAATAGGTTTAGGTGGCCAAATTTAGGCCGATCATTTTCTATCTAAAGCATATGTATCAAACTGTTAAAGCAAGTATTGCAAAATTGCAACGTATAATATAACACACCATGGCAGTCTATTTGTAGTAATGGTTAGTTTAAGTTAAAGCACTGTCTAAGGAAAACAACAAAAACATTAATTGCGCAAATATCTAGCAAATTTTAAAATGTTGCAAATGTGGTGCTTTATTCCCATCTGTATCAATCCTTAAAATAAATGTTTCAACTAAAGCACTTTTTGTTGTACTTTTTCATTTTTAAGACAGTTTAGCTATTTTTTGCTAATTTGTTGACATGCTGCTCCATCCAAAGCGTTGAATATTAGCAAATACAAATAGAACCATAAGCGATATATAATTTATAAAAAATATATACATAAGTGTGGTATTATAAGTAACTGAAATGAGACTTTGATATAAAGCAAATAAAGCATTTGATCGTATATACAGTACTTGCTTCTCCTTTCACTGTATGTTGCAGCTGTCTTAAATGTTAGAGAAGAAGACTAAGTGCTGTGTTAAACATTTAACATTTTTTTCTCCACTGAATAAATGTACTCAAAATAACAATAAGCAGAGAGGGATCATGCAGCAGTAAAAAAATATATTTTAAGGCCTTTATGCATTTTTACATGGGATGCAAATGAGTAGAAATGCACTTGATTTACAAATGAAACTCACATAAAGCCCACTAATTTGTCTTTGTTTAAAAGATTGTGAATTGTATTTTTAGCGCAATTTAGATTTATGATATTTTGAAAAAGAAAACATGTTTTCCTCTGATTATTTACCCCTGTTGTATTTTGAAGCAGAGCATAAAGTCATCCCTTCTTCAACAGCTTAACAACACAACCACCTTTCTGATAACAATCTTTGACTGTAACTTCATTCTATTATTTTGAAAATACCATTTTCTAGTAACACACCCCAAATCTGAGATATGCATTAAGCACAACCAGATGCAGTCCTCTATTCAGGAAGGACTTTGTGACGTATCTGCCAGTGAAAATGAACAAATAGAGAGAAGCAGGCAGAACATTTTGCACAACAGCAAAACATGACCGATAATTAAAAGTAATAGAAGATCACTGGGCTTTTTATTATCTAACTTATTAAACAACAAAACCTCAATATTATATCTGTAGCGTTTTTAATCCAAAGAGACATTTTTGCCCTACATCCACTCTGCTAATTTTCCACGACTTTTTAATAAGAGACAACTTAGATTTTTTTTTTAACATATGTCTCCTAAAGAAATTTTGAGGTAATAAACAGGATATGTAATTTTTTTTTATTCTATAGAATGTTGATAATTGTGGGACATTATGTGACAAAAACGTAGACATTTCCAATGTAATGACAACAAAAAATAGATGTGGTAATGGTACATTTTGTTGTGGAAATTCAATGCAACTAAGCATTGAAAAACCACTAAAACTGCAGTCATCCTTACATCTATATTTGAAAACTGAACCTTTATCATTTTTAGCCAATGTTATTAAGAGTTATTGTTGAAGATTCAAAGAGCCACAGGTTGCACATCTCTGACATAAAGCCTGCTGCCTTTATGCCTAACTTTGCTTTGTGCTGTTTATCTTTCTTCGTAGCTTTGAGTCCACAAGAAGACTTTAATCACTTTACGTACTCTTAAATCTACAAAACCTCACCCCGGTAGGGCTGCTACATGTCCATCAGCGCTGAGTCTAGTTTCTACAACGGTTTAATTAGGTAATTTTCCTAGAAAATAATGGATTCTTTTTGTGCAAAAAAAGGAACCAGCCATAAGGGAGGTATTAAGACACAAAGTAGAAAAGATTTATTTTAATTGCAGCCAACAGCAGATTTAGTTCCCCCTTTTTTTTTTTAAATTAGCATATTTCTTTTGTTTCCATTACAGCTTTACTTCTAGCTGCCAGACAAGTCTCATAATTATAATTTTCATTTAGTCACAAAAAAGGACAAACTGCTTTGGCCAGTAGGAAAACATAAAACAGGATTATGTCATACTAAGAGGTCCAATATGATAAAAACAAAACAAAAAGATTATTTACACATAATCACCAATCAAAGAGTGTAGCTTTATAGCACAAATGTCCCTGTCTGTTTGCAAATTTACAGCTCATTTAACGAACCTAATGTCTTACCTAATATCTTTATTAAAAGCAGGTTAAATCATAGACTGAATAATGGTAATTTATTTCATTACATACAAATAAAAGATTGTTAAATATAATGACGTGGGAACTAAAGTCAGTCAAACAAAGGAAAGCAAAAGACCCACCCCATCCAATGCCGTAGTAATAAAAGTGTTTGCTGCCTTCTGAGCCAAACACCTTCACCACCATGCTGTAGAGATGCAGACCCTCCACCAGCATCCAGGCGAACGCGCTCAGAAAGAAGAAGTGAAGCAGGACGGCCATGACCTTACAGGGCAGCTGCGAAGTGGAAGAAAATCAGAAAGTTAATAGCTAGACCCTCCTCTGATTTACCTGTTTATGAGTGACAATAAAAGGAAAAGCGTTACCAAGTAACACCGAGATATTTTGCATAGCAACAGTTTAACAGGACCTCTGCAAAACGTCACTGTTCGTCACAACTTATTGATTCTGTTAATATTTTGATCATCATCCCTCATATATAAGTCATTAAGTACTTTCAAAAGGTTTTTCTTTTTTGAACTTTTTAAGTCTAAACAAGGGCAGAAAAATACAGCTGAGTGTGGAAAACACATATTTTTGTTTTCCGTGATTCTTTTGTGTTTCATTTTCCAGAACATAAAAAAACCCCATGACACCAAAAATCAAACACTGTAGAAAAAACAACAACAACAAAAAACATTCGTACGGTCATGTCAAAATATGCTAACCCCTAACACTAACTGAAAATTGATAAATTAGAAAATATAAAGATAGAACTTAAAAGGGGGAAAATTGCAGAAACACTGGTATTTGCATAACTCTACATGTGGCATCAGGAGCATCATGTGTAAAGTTAGAGGTGCTGCAGAATGCACTGACCGTGCCTGGCTCAAAGCGAGCGCTGATGAGCAGTAAGATCTCTGCCACCAGGATGGAGAAGGACAGGTTGGCGTGGATGTGGTAGCGCTCATTACGGATGGTACTAACAGATCTGCAACATGGACACGGATGCAGAAAAGTCAATGTTACACGCTCATAGTCATGTAATAAATTAGCACAAAAAAACCAAAAACGCTAAAAAAAATTAGATCACAGTAACTATTGATAATACTCACGAAAGCACTGCAAATGTAACCAGAGTGATGGCCAGGCAGAAGATGGATATTGAACAGCCAACATACCCAATGGTTGATAGTGCCATCTTGTGGCCAGGAGTGAGCTGTATAGAGAGATAGATCACTGTCAAAAGGGTTGGAGACAGCTTTTTATTTCTCTTTCTCACTGTTTGTGTTTCAATTATGTTTTTTTTTAAATTCTTTCTCACATGCTGTTTTTATTTCAATTATGTAAAGTACTTTGAAATGCCTTGCTGCTGAAATGTGCTATACAACTAAAATTTGATTGATTTGATATATACACACACACACACACACACACACACACACACACACACACACACACACACACACAGAGAGAGTTTTTGGCTAAGTGCTCTAATCCTGTTTTGGTGCTCAGGCTATTTTGAGAGTTTGGTTTTGATTCTCTATGAACTGTTTACGCATGTGCCTTGTTATTATGAGAGCAGAGGACTCTCAAGCTTCAGGCGAAAGGAAACGTGGGATGATGCCTTGCAGCTGAGGGAAGAAGCATCCCACTAATTAGAGACCTACTCTAAGAAAGTATAGCATCAAATAGACTTCTGCTGCCTAAATAGAAAACTGGCTCACTTCGCTGCAATAAGAAATCCACTTTCTTAAGAAGAAGAAGAAGAATAACAAGAAAAAAGAAGAAGAAGAAGAATAACAAGAAAAAAAGCTTATTGTGGATGCTAACCATACTTTCACCGCACGAAGGCTTGCATATTATGGAAGCTTTGGATTCTAAGGTATCTAATACTGTACAGGACACAGTTTAGAGAGTCATTAAGAGATGACTGCTGTTCTTGTGAGGCACAAAACAACCACAGCTGAAAAATGAAGGACAAGTTAAGAATGACATTGTGATCACATTCAGTTCCTTCCAAAACTACTCATATCCTTTGAAGTTTATTCCATGTGACAGGTCGACACAAAGCAAAGCATAATTTTGATGTAAATGTGTAGAAAGCACTTATATGTTTTTACACATTTGAAACATGTTCCTGTCATTTTGTCTTCAGGCCCCTCTGTTCTGATCTCCTATGTGAAATCTACCGCAACAACATTGCTTGAAAATCTACCAAAAGACTAGTTCTGAGGTCCGCAGTAACTCTGGAGGAGTTGCAGAGGTACACCGCTCTGGTGGTACCTCTGCAAATCTATTGACAGGACAACTGTTAGCAAAAAGGAACTTTTGATAGAAAACTATAAGAAGAACAAGAAAAAAGATGCGGATTCACATTGCAGATTTTTTTTTTTTTTTTTTTTTTACAATTATCCACTTTATTGTCTTAATCAATTACATACAATCCCAATAAAATACACTGTGGTCTGCGGTTGTAACATGACAATATGCTGAAAAATTTACTGTTTCGCAAGTCGCTGTGGACTATTGTGGACAATAAAGTGTAGTCGGGGCCTCCCTGTGGGGCTGATTACTGTGTGGTAAACCAGTGAGTAAACCACAAAGGCCAGTCCAATTATATTCTTAAAAACAGACTTATTTTTTCAGGAATCCAGAGGATGTGGTGTACTGTTGAATAAGAGTGGACAGCTGGTGATTAAGAACAAACATTTCCCTTCCTAACTGCTTTTTTTTTTTTTACCCAAATCTGTACGCTCATGGACATACTGTATGGAGTGAAAAATTTAATAAAAGACTGCATTCACTTCAAAACATCTTCTCGGACTGCAGGAAAGCAGTGTCGTTTCAGTCTTGTTGGCCACTAAAACACATGCAAAACACATGCGGCGTGCTTCTACAAAGAGTTGAGGCTCACATGAGCGTGTTATTAAAGTCATTTGACTTGAGGTGAAAAAAATCTTTTAAATGATTGTTATTCTTGCTGTTTCTGTTGGAATGCGGAGGTTGAGCAGCGGGCAGGTGTTCTCTATCAAATGCTCCGACAGAAACTGCAACGCATGGATTACGTCTCAGGCTCTAAAGGTTCTAACATATTACAAAGCCTGGCAGTTCCAGGAAAATGAATTGATTTGTAAGACTTGACGGTAATAGCTGCCACACAAGAACACACGGTGAGATTGAGGTTTGCAAAGTTCCATCTGAGCCACTTTTGAGAAGAACGGGTGCAGAGTGTGTGTGTGTGTGTGTCTGTGTGTGTGTGTGTATGGGGTAGGGGGAAACATAACCAAAGCACAGATGTCTGATTGGGCAAAAAACCAAAACCATCACATCAGCGCCCATAAGAATAATAATAATATCAAATGTCAAGCACGGTGTTGGAAGGGTAATGAGTTGGGCTTGTGTTGCGACCACAAGACCAGGGGTGTCTCGTAGCAATTGAGTCAAATCAGAACTCGTTGGTGTGGCTGTGGTTTTAGAAACCATTTGACGGCTGAAATGTGGTCACAAACAAGACAATAAGATTCAAACGACATCTAAGGCAGAATTGCAGAAGGTTAAATGGAAAAGGCTGATGTGGAGGTAAAGTTAAAGTCCAGAATTCAACCTGATTCACGTGTGTTAGCTGATGAATTGCAGTCAACACGTCTGGACCAGAATTTGAATAAATTACTCCTTGTAATAAATAGAGGGTTTGCTATTCTTATTTAGTTTTGACGTTTTTGCTTTGGTTTTGGTAAATGCACAATGAGACGCTAAAGCATCATAATCTTCTACGGATCAAAACCAGTTTAAAATGTTTTGATTAAAACAACACTTTCAGGCCAGAAAGTACTTGATTATTAGTATGTAAGTGTGGATAGCTAAAAAAAACAACAACTTTAAAGGTCAATAAAAAATTAAAAAAAAGATACCTCCAAGTGCACAACTTGCATGAGGATGGCGAAATTGGTAAGATGGTTGCACATGCACACAGAATACGACGCGTTTCCATCTGAGCGAACGCAGCCTTCATTGGACCACACTCCCTCATTAGTGCTAAGACAAAAGACAAAATGCAGGGATTATTTACATAGCAAATGCATTCAGCAGGAAGATTAAAAACTGATGGATAAATAAGCAGACAAGGCCGAGTTTATCTGAGCACTGCTGGCAGCGTTCACTCAATCTAATCCTGCATGGGAGGCACACGCACTTCTGTTTGCTGACTCTGTCGGGATAATTTAATAATTCACATTTTTCATGAGCTTCAGGGCAAAGGGGAGCGAGAGGAGGAAGTCTTTGAATCCAACTCAATCAGACTTCGTTTTACAATGAGTTATGCCCTCCAAACAGCTTTTTGGATCCAGGTTTTGGAAGGCAATGTCTCCGCGGAGGACCGTTGCTTAATATAAAACTGGAACGGAAGCACATTTATCACTGGATATTTTCGGTTCGGATAAGTAAAAAGGAAATAGACCTTTTCCAAACCTGATGCGTTTTTTTTGTTTTTTTTCTTCTCCATATAAGTTTTTTAGCCCTGCAGGCTGAACCAGACAACATAAAACAAAAACAAAAGGACTTGAGAGATGAGATCTGGTTTGTGCTACGACTAAAAGAGAGACATTTAGCATCGGGACAGCAGACACAGACCCACCTGTAGTCCAAAAAGGCGCAGTAGAGGAAGACTTTATTGCTCTGATTTAGCATTTGGTCTTGCTGTTCTTTAGTCTGAAAAAGAACGGTGAAATGGAGTGAGCCATTTTATGTGTTCAAAATCAGAAAAACAAACAAATAAAAAACAAAAACAAAGATTTTAAATGTCAAAATATCAAGTGTGCAAAGGGGAGAGTTAAAGATAATTACTTTAAACAAACTACAAAAAATAATCCAGGATGTTGCCTTTGATACAAAAACCAAATAAGAAGCAGAGTTTCTCTGCTCGAGTAGAACTACAGCAAGAGGAGAGGTACAATGTAAAAATTCAAACACTTGAGCAGTGTATAAAAAAAATCTCTCCTCCGTTCCTCAAGAATCTTATTTGATTTTAAATCACTTTTTCCATGTCATTCCTTGTTATGAGATTTAGAATCTCCTGGGACAGTGAGCTAATGGCTGCAGCGCAGGAATGCGGTAATTGGGGCTTGGCCCTGGTTTCAGGTTCAGACCACTACCCTTCTCAATCTGTAATCTGAGAAAGAAAACAACACTTACACCGACTGGAAAAGTGCATACAGCGAAAATGCACACGTCTCCCTATTCCAAACGCTCTGGCTTTCCAAAAAAATCTGCATGAGATGGACCGTGCGTCTGCACCGTTTCCTACTGGAAAACACTGAGAGTGTGACTGACAAGCCGGGTCGCCTGGTTCCCGGCCTCTGAGCCTTGCTGCACCACAATACCTTGATCTCCCTTCTGTAATCAAACCGCCACTCCGATGATGTTGGTTTTGCGCATGCGACTCTTTTAGTTGTTGCACTTGAGAAGAACGCAGCAGACATTCAGCTCATTAATGCAGCTCTGGAGCCGTCAGGACCTCCGTCACCCCCTTCCCATAATCACCAGTGGCTGGCTAATTTCAAGGAATTTACGATATGTAAAAAAAAAAGAAAGAAACGAACAAGCAAAAAAAAAAAAAACATTAAGGAGAGACAAAATGCAGCTGGAAGACTGTACGTATTTCATCATGGTGTCGCGTTTGCTCTTACTAAAACCTTTGATGTCTCTTTGCAGCAAAAGCAAAGACATTTCTTTCGATTATACAAAAAAGATCATTGCCACTCCACAATATGCAAAGCCCACCATCTGACATGCCGGTCAACAAACGGACCATCACACGCTTCCTCTCTAACAAGTGCACATGGTAAACCCGGCTTGCTCTTTCCTTTCCAGTCGAAATCTAGGCGGAGTTCAACGACCCGACTGTCACTTTTGAGCGTCTGGGCTCAAATCGCCTCCATTTAAGATAACGCGCTCGACTCCTACGGCCTCAGGATGTACCGGTCGAGACTGTAGCTGGAGCTCCAGCTCTTTATTAAGAACAGAAGGGCAACAAGCACCCGCCCAGGAAATCAACCGGAGCCTCGTAAGAGGAGCGAGACAGGGAGAATAAAGAGAGAGCGAGAGCCGGCAACAGCAGAGTGACAGGCTGATAAAGGAGAACAATCTGAGGGACAGAGGATGATAAATCATTGTCAGAGTATCTCCAGCACTCCTGTGTTGTGGTGTGGTATTTGGCAGGCCGTGAAACTGAGCTTCAGTGGCTGGCTGGGCTTTTTTTTTTTTTTTTTTAACTGACCGACCCTGTATTTTCCACAGCAGCGGGTGAAAATCAGGGGAAAAATCTCATTTTCAATTTAACCGAGAGCCACTGTGATCTCGAAAGGCCTCCAGTGAGCGCCTTGTGCCTCGTAGGTGTATGAATAACCCTTCTTCACATTTTGTCTCATTATAATCACATAATTCAAGGTATTTCATTTTGACTTTATCTGGTAGGTCAACACAAAGCACTATGCCATTTGTTAAGTGAAAAGAAAAAAGATGGAGGATTTTTACAAGATGTCCTGTCTAACGTTTGCCACAAACCAGATGAAGATGAAATAGTTTCTTGATTAGAGACAGAGAAGCTGTTGGGAGGCTGCATGCAGCTGAAAACAAAGCGACCTCTGATGGAATCCTATTAAGAGACTTGAACCACCTTTGACACCAAACAGAGTTCAGATCAGAGCGTAGTCCTATGTTAGAATGGCCTAGTCAAAGCCAACATGTAAGTCCAGCAAAAGATTTGAAAATAATAATAATAATAATAATGTTACCAAGCTCCAATTATGTCGGAGAGGAGAGGATTTTAAAGTGTAAGTGAAGTGAGTGGTGATTCTAGAAAGTACTGATGTAATCTTTTATCACAAATATGCATTATGTTATGTTAGTTAATCACAAAAATGTTTACTCAAGTTTGTGGTTGAAAAGATGCCAAGCAGTCAGAAGAACAAGATTCCCTTTAAAAGCCCTACAGCAACTATATTTCCTGCACTCCAAATTATTCTTGCTACCATAAAATCCAGTTTATTTTGAGAGACGTCACAGTTACAGGCAACAAGTAGATATGTTAAAAGAAAAGCAAGCAAACCCCGCCACCCTGAAAAAATTAAAAGTTTGGGGGATAACCTTCTACAATACTTCACTTTGATGAGACTTTAATCTTAAAACTATGTCACCAATCAAAATACCAGCTACGAATTCAGTGCAGCGGGCGAAGACCTAAACGGGGAACAAATGGCTGCAAAGACAATCGAGCGTCAGCTGCCAGCTGAAACAGCTGCTCTGCGATCCAAATACAGTAAACCATGACGCAACTCCGCCGGAGCCACTGTCATCTCTTTGAGTCGGGTGGAGCAACAGGCACTGACGGCGCCTGGTTAAACATCTGCTCCTGTCAAAGCTTTTTGCTTTGACGTCCACTACAGGTACGTGTCCCATTATTCAACAAGCAAATCAGTAAAGAAAACACGTCGTCCAGCAACTCAGCTTGGAAATCGGTCTTCTGACCCACTGAGTCCAGAGGTTCTGGAGCGACAGAGCAGATCTCCAACTCTGAAACAGTTTATCCCAAACCTAAATAGATATAAATTCTATCTGCCGTTTCCACAACGTTATAACTTATCTAGACTTAGTTTCCATAATTTGGTTGTCTTTATTTTGATCACTTTTGCACTAAAATGTGACAAATGCTAAACAGAACTCAAGTTAAGGAGTCAAAATACATTGTACCACATGCAAAGTGCCCCAGATTTAGCGTAACATAGTTGCTGGTATTCATTATTGAGCAATAAATGTAAACAATATCTCTATTAAGAACACAATACAAGTTTCCATCCTGCTCTTTGCTTGAAAAGGACATCTGTTGGTTTGATGACAAAGTTTTCTCTCTGTTTCCACGCAGCGCTGGCACAACTATAACAAGCCACAGGAGGAGACAGACATAATCTAACACCAGAGAGGTCTGAAATAAGACTTGGGTTTTGCTAAGTTTAAAAAGAGGAAAAAAAAAAAAAAAAAACTTGAATAAACATACAACAGCATGATGGGTGAAGTGAAAAGGAGAAACTGTTTTCTTTTACTTCAAACTCTCCAAATACTTCAGGGCAAAGTGAGCCAATTTGTAATTTCCGCTTATTCCGTTTGGTATAGATTTGAATTCAGGCAACATTCGACATACACATTCCCACGAATGAGAAGACTTTAATTTACTCAGGGTTTCATAACAGAAAGTCTGCACACTGCCAAAATAGAAAATCTTTCAAAGTACTTATAGTCTTCTAGTGGAAATATCTTAGTGCACTTGACAAGACAAAAGACAAAATTAACTTACGAATAACTTTTCAGCAAGATGTAAGAGCTTGTTTAAGTGAATAGTACCTTAATATTTATGAAAAAAGTACTAGATCTAAGTGAAATAATGTGACAGTGGAACAAGTAGTTTTTATAATCAATATTGACTTAAAACAAGCTCATATTTCATGCTGAAAAGTTACTTGTAACTTAATTATGTCTTATTTCAAGTGTACGAAGATATTTGCGGTAGAAATTAGACCAAAGACACTGGTAGGATTTTGTGTTTTTGCAGTTCTTAAATTGAGTAAGGCAAGTAAAGACCGTATAGCAGTACATCTGGAGAGGACAGAAAAGTGTCAAGTTCAAACACAAGGTGCTCACTGAGCCGTCTTACGCCCCAACATCACCCGGCTCCGTGGCTGACTGAGCACAGAGCTTTCGGCAGCGGTGGCCCTTAAGCCGGTCCGCACACGGCAGAGCGGAGCAACAACCCGAATCCATCCAGAAAAACACTGCGGCCGCTCGAATGAGATCATGGCATCAGGGGACGTGTGAAAAGACATGCAGCTGTGGGCTCTGCTCGCTCTCTGTGGTGGACACTGAAAACAAGACGACGTGTCGAGTCGCACACGGTGCGAGGGAAACTGGGGACAATTAAACAAGTCCAGGAGTAACTCATACAGGGTGGGTGGTGGGTGTTCAGACAAAAAAAACAGCTATTGCTGTAGAGATAGCTAAAAAAATAAAACAAAAGTTATAAGTGGTGGTCTGGATGCATCAGTTTGTGTGTTTAATTCCCACATGTTTCTTTCTTTTTTTTTTTTTTTTTACTTTGGACTCCTTCCCAGGAATAACATTTTGGGAGTTTAAGACCTTCAGCATCAAGTTCAGTAACAGGGAATTAACTTTTTAAGTGGGGTAAATAAGGTAAATACCTTACTATCTCCAGCTTAAAAGCTCCGTATGTGCAGTACATTTGCATACTGGCTTGCATATTGAATGTGGCGACATTAAACAAAGAAATGATGCTAATAAATTCCTCAAATTGGTATTAAAGTTGTCCAATAAGAGCAGAGGCGATCTTTAATGATGGTCCCTCATTCTTCATCCTGTTTGTCCCCACAAATAACCCACTTTCCTGATGAACATCATTCTGGAAAAAAACAGAAGTTCAGAAGTAGCCTACTTCCCACAATGAATTTCATAGATGACTCCACTACATTAAGTACCTATTTTGAATTTTAAAGCAGCTTTGAACAAATGGATCAGACTACCTTTAGAGCCATTAAACAGATACTTGAGGTCTCTTTGACTGGACATGAGATAAAGCAAAAGAAAACTTGTTTGGGGTGGAAATGACAAATTGCATCTTTTTTTCTGTCCTGGGTGGAGAGCCATATTATTTTACATGTGTCAGGAGGCAAGTTGGTGGTGGTGGTGAGATAGAACGCAGGGACCCAGATAAAGATGATAATGATGATGAATTTAATGAAGGTAGCAGCTCGAACAGTCAAAACATGTAGGCAGCACAGTGAGCAGAAAATAAAGCTAACACTGGTAGCAATAGACTGAGCAACAGAGCCAACGCAGGACTTAAGCAGTTCTACTGTGATGACAAAATAATCAGAAACTCAGGACTAACAGTTCTACTGAGACAATGAACTGAAAACTACAAAGGACGAGGAACAGACGAGGTATGACGTACGACGAGGATCCGACAAGAGACAAAGGCAGCAGGTGGGACTAAATACACAGGGAGGGTAATCAAGGAATGAGACACACCTGGGAAGCAATCAACGGGGAAGACGCAGGAACAACAGAGACTCAGGACAGAAACTGAACACAGAAAACCCTTAATATAAATACACGGAAAACACGGATCATGGCAGCGTGAGACATTTTCCTCCGACCGTTTAAGAAAATGAAATGTTGCATCCACAAACTTACCAGAGCTCGACAAAGACATGTTTCAAATATTATCATAATAGTAGTAAATTACGTCTCACTCGGAAAACCTAATGTCTCAGGCTGTAGATTTTTTCAGAGACAGCATTTGAGACATTTGAGTTATGATATATATATATATATATATATATATATATATATATATATATATATATATATATAAATAAAAAACAGGGGGTGTTGAGAAAGGGACTATAATGAAAGTCTTTAAATACTTCTGGCAAGTGAGGAATGGCAATGACCAGAGCTCCATCTGCGATTGATCAGTGTGTTGGCTCACACGGCTTGTGTTTCTCTGTGGGTGTTGGTGTATGGATGGGCGTGGGTGGCTGAGGGAGAGGGAGGCGGAGGAGAACATTTTGCCCACAAGGTTTAAGTTTAGGCGTGTTCTGGAAGCTATAAAAAGACGGACAAAGAAAGGCGCGAGCATTATTTTGACTGAGAGAGCTGATACCAGCAGCTTGAGTGCAAAAATTAGCCGTGGGTATCAGATAGGCTGAGCGATCTTTCTGCGCTTATTTTAGTGACCAAACAGTTGTTTTACCTTCTAGATTTCAAGGAAGCAGACGTCTTTACGAGCACAGAGCGTGCATTTTCCTGTTCTGAAGCTACATTTATGGTTACCTCCTGCCAAATCTCTTTCACAAAGCTTTTTATTATAGATTAAAAGCGAGTGACAGAGCAAACGGAAGAGCTATAGCCTTGTCATATTCTGAATGTCATCATTAGTTAAGCATGAAGTTCCAGGTAAGCGAGCGACATCAGCACACAAAGTTCTTTTTGTGTGTTGTTGAAACATGTTTTATTGCACCAGGTTTTTGTACATCCTGCACAGATTAGCTGAAAAACAATAAAAAAAATCAGTTTGAAGGGAGAAAAATAAATAAATGGTGCAATAACCCTGTTGCATAAGTGTGCACGTCTCTTAGCTGAAGCATCTTTTGATTCAAGTTCAGAATTGTGCTGGCTGAGCTGACTGAAGACACAGTGAGACAACCGTTACGATACAAAGCAAAAATGTAGCTACCCTTATCAAAATATGTTGATCGAATCATCTTTCATTTCACCGTACCCTGTGGTATGATAAGCCTTTCATCTAGTTTACGCAACACCAGCGATAGCAGGATGGAGGAAGAGGGCCAAACAGCGCTGTGTGTCTCTGTACGAGTCTATTAATGTTTACCCGCAGACGCCAATGCCTCACAATCCTTAATTCTGTTCCCTGCTCAAGGTTTCCCAAACGGAACCACAACCACAGACGGCAGGAATAAATCAGCGATGGTGACAGACTCCAATCAACTCCACAGAATAATGCAGTGAGAGAAGCACGTGGGAATCCAGCGGCCTTGCTAACGCCTTGTCAGTGTGTCGAATCTGCTCCGCGCCATATTAGAGGCAACGGTAACTTAATTCCGACTGAGTCGGCTGCCGATTTGCTCCGCTGAGCTGCTCCTTGAATCAAAAGGGCATTAATCAAAGAGAGAGGGGTCGATCCAACGTCAACCACATGGCTTTGACCTCAGCTTGACTGAGTACCTGCCATGACGCAAAGATATTTACAGGTTGCCGATCCCATCAATCTAGTTTTTTTTTTTTTTTTTTTTTTTTTTTTCCCTTTTTTAAAAGCAAGTGTCAGATAAAAGACAGAGAGATCTGGACTGTTTATACTGCAGACGGCACACAAGACCTGTAGCTATGGCAGCATGGAAAGACTAATAAGGGAGTTTGCACATTTCTGCTTCAGACTGCCACAATGTTTAAATAGACTTGCTGAGTACTCCTCTGCAGAAGCACGTTGGCTAAAATACAAAACTTAGCCGGGGAAACTGTGTCATGGCAGGACAAATTTGAAGTTAAGCTCGCTAATGCAGACCATAAAGACTCAATCTTCAGTAGAAAAGCATATTTTATGTGTTATATTTAATTGTTTGGAGGCACATTATCCAGAGTGGGGCAGAAACACAATTATACTTGTGAGAAATACATTTTTATCATATTACATTGCTTTTACTCCTAAATGCACATTTTATTTTTATATTTTAGTTTAAAAACAGGATCTTACTGGTGTAGATCTGGACACATGCATCCTCTTTGCAAGGTAACGTTTCTGCCGGGCAATTCTGTCACTGTTTAACCTTTCAGTTTCATGGTCGGCATACAGTTTTTAGATCTGGACTGCAGCACATCAATCTTTGAAGTTATGCTTTTATAAGTCTTACAGTTGAAATATGGAGTTGTCCTAATGGAAAAAAAACCCCTCCAGGCTCCCAGGAGAAGCTATCATCTTGATGACGGAAACTCTCTCTTTTAAATTCCAACATATGTCTGAGGAAAACCTTTACAGGTCAGCGAGGGCCGTGGATACCGATGCAGCCCAGTATCATCTCTGCTGACAGGTTTTGCAACTTCATCCTTCATTTGATGAAGACCGATTGTGTTTACTTAAAGAAAACTGAAATGTAGAGTGATCCAACCAAAGAGCATGTGTCCACTGTACAACTATTTATACAAGATGAGCTCATGCTCTAAGAAGTCGGATGTATTTTTGCACAGAGTTCAGAGATAAATGGCAGTCCACTGTGTCACACAGCTCCAGCGTACATTTCTGGATACAGAGGACGATTGGGTGCAGTGAGTGTACAGTTTACAGTGCTGTAAAAAGTGTTTGTTCTCCTACAAATTTCTACCGTTCTTGTTTTGTCCTATTTGTTTGTTTCTGATAATCAACACCTGTTAAATCATGAACTGCAGTCGCAGAAGAAGTACGCGTCTAAAGATCTCCAAAAGGAAAACATCACGCATCAATCTAAATAAATTCAAAAACAGATGAGAAACAAAGTCACTGCCATCTATAAGTCTGGAATGGGTTACAACACCATTTCTGAGGCTTTTGGGACTCCAGCAAAGCATTAATGAGAGCCATATCTGATTCTGCATTTGTGTATGTTTTTCATCTGGTGGCAGAAAATGTTCCCAAAAATCACAAAAAGAAACACGGAACATCTAAAGCGGGGCAAATATCACTTATCTCAGTTAAAACTAATGTCTATGATTCATGGATTACAAAAATAAACTTGGACAAAAAAACGGCATCCATTGGGGAATTTCAAGGCGAAGACCACTGCTGACCAAAATGAACACAAAATGAACACAAAAGCCATCCAGGCTTCAACTGGACAAAAAAAAAATAATTAAAAATCTCAAAGACCTTTGAGAAAATATTTTTTAGACTGACTAATAAAAAAGAGGACATTTTGTGAAACATTTCAGAAAAAAAAAAGAGCAACACTCAAACACGGGTAGTATGGTGATCTGGGGCTGGTTTGTTGCTTCGGGATCCAGACGACTTCCCATAATAAGGAGAACAATGGATTCTGCTCTCTGCCAGCATATTCTGAAGGACGAAGTCCGGTCACCAGTTTGTAATCTTAGGCCTACACTTGGACTGACGGTGATCTGAAGCACACTAGCATGTCCATCAACAAGTGGTTAAAAACAGCCAATTGGATGTTTTGGAATGGCCTAGCCAAAGTTCAGACTGAACCCAATCAGGAATCTGTGGCATGGCCACATGCTCAACACTCCCATAACGTGACAAAAAAAAATCTTTAAAACAAAATGGTCACTGACTCATTGCCAGTTTACACAAATGGCTGATGGCAGATATTGCTACCAGCAGCGGCAAAACCAGATATTAGAATCCAGAGATAATAAATGATGTTATGTTATTAATTGACTCTAATCATCTTTGTTATTTTTGTGTGTGCTTTTTTTGGTGATTTGAAACTTTTCCATGTGAGAAAAGCAGCTGTAGTGGGGCTGTGGTGTAAAGTCTGTTTACGTCTCATGTGATATGGCAGACAAGGCGATCCTGCAAAAAATGGTGAGAGGAGCTGAAGTACCGCACTGTTCCCACTATCTCTTTCAAAACTGCAGCAGAAACAAGGTAATTTTTTAAAACTGCTCCTATCAGGAAAACATACCAAATCCTTTAGGGTAATCGATTGATTTGATGTAAGTATATCGGTCATAATAGTAAAGTATAAGTATTTTAAATACTTCACAGCAGAAGATGTTCCAAATTAGTTTCTTAGATTTTCCCAATATTCCTATAAGAGTATCTATTATCACTGTTGCAGGTCTTCATGTAAACGGCTATAAAAACCACTCAGTGTTGTCGGTTTCTTTGACGTTTTCTGCCCAGAAAACCTGAAAAAAAGATCCAAGTAGACAAAGCCGTAATGACCGTGTCTGTAAAAATATCAAAAGAACAGACTGAAAAATTATGTATTTAAATTTTTTGCTGGATGAGACAAACATGCAAACCTTCCTTGGAAACTGGTGTGATTGTCCCGTACTGTACAGACTGTACTGTCTAAGATTCCTCCCAGCCTCCAAGCGAGGAAGGGGAAAAGCATCCTGTAGCAGCCAGAAAACATAAAAGCTCCAAAAATAGTCTCTCTTTGACTAAGTCTGACCACAGCTATGAGCAGCAAACCAGTTATAGCATACTAGCTCATTTTTTTGGACATAATCCTGGCCACAAGGGTTGCACGCGTAATCACGACAGAACCTCTAGAGCGTCTCCACTTGGACGAGTGATCTCAGCTATAAGATCAGGCCGGAATGAGCTGGCACCGAACATTTCAATCAGCGCGAGAGAAATTCAACAAAGCAGATTTATATCCACAACAGAGGTAGTCCAACGAAAATGGAAACGCCTTAACTGGAATGACAGCTGAACTGGTGAGCGTCGCTCACACCCCTGTGGTGTCTGCTAAAACAAACAGAGGAATCACTGGAACAGGAGCCAGGCCAAATAATTACAGCATCAATATTTATTTCACCAAGAGGGGGGCAAGGGGGAAGGCTAACAAAGCAACATTAGTACGGTTTTATGACACAGCATGAGCTTCTTTCCCGCTTTTATGAGAGAGGAAGGAGGGTATTGGTAATGTACTTCAATAGAAACTGAGTAATTCTTGTGGGACTTTTAAATGAGTTACAACATCACAACGGTGAGGGCTTTGCCCAACTGGGTTTGATAACTTCTTTATCAGTATCATTGTTTGACTGGCCTACGCTTATGAGTGCACATCATTAGGGCAAAAAGCATGGCCTGAAAATTTCTAAAACCAAAAAAAAAAAAAAAAAAACAGCACGCCACCACGGGAAACAATGTTAATACAACACACTTTTTTTTAAAAAAAATATAGAAATTATGTGTTTCAATAACATTTGCTATGCTAAAATGGCATGACTTCCTTTGCAAAGGACCTGAAAAAAATGTTATTCATAAAAGAGAGGCATTGTTGCTTCAAAGCGCCCCAAGCTTGCAATTCAAAATATCTATAATCAGTTTGCTTTCTGGACGCCACATGCGCTGCGAGGGGAAAAAAAAAAAAAAAAAAAAAAAAAAAAAATTAAAAAGGGGGGGAAAAAACAAAAAAGGGGCCTGTTTCCCTAGGGCCCCCACATGTGGGGGGCCACCTT